ATAAAAAACAAAAGTGTTAAGTTACCATTTGTTACTAAAGATAGCAAACATCTCGTGGGAAAGAGTGGTGACGATTCGTCAGCTCTGATTGAATTTACTACCTTGTGAAAAACAAGAGTGTCGAATTACACTTTGTAACTAAAAAACAACTCCGACACTTCAGACAAAAAAATAACTCTTGCACGCGTTGCGTGCCTTTTTTTTTTTTGAGTTTCTGATCCGCTTTTAGGCTTGGCTAAATCTCGAGCTCATCACGGCGTGGTTACTCAGTTATATTTACCTCAGACAACGTGCATGGACGAACGTGTAAGGTTTACCATGAATGTTTTTTCGTGCTGGTATGCTTATTAAGCCGTCCTTGAAGAAGTCCCAACATGGATGTTCTTTTAGACTGCATTGATGAAATAGCATTAGATGGTTTAGACGGTACGTAATGAAAGGATTCGTTGTGAATAATCACAGGTCGCCCAAGCTCAGTATGTGAGACTGATTATCCCATTTAATAGTGACACCTTCTGCAAGAAGTATTATCTTTTGACCCTTCTGGGTACCTTTGACATTACTGGACTTCCTTTCAAAGCCATTAAGCTTCTTGTTTCTTCTGTTTAATAAACTATTTTATTACCTAGGTTGCCCTATACAGGAGTTATGGAAGCATCTTGAAGAAAGAAGGCCACCATTTCCTTTTAAGTTGGACGATAGAGCAAAGCAGTTTCTTTGGAAAGCCATTGCTAGGACTCTAGATATTGAGTTTTTTGCACTTGCAGAGCCCTTTCCTCATATATTTGGCACAAAGCAAGGGGAAAGAACTGATAATGAAAGTGCACATCACCAAGCACAAAACCCTCTCGATCAGGTATTTGAATTGAATGCTACCTGTTTCGCACCCAATCGAGTTTGCACCCACACAGTTTGTACCCCTGGACTCATTATAAACTTTCTAATTTGAGTTCGCCTTCACCTTCAATGGATCAAGGAATGAGAAATAAACATGTTTTGTGTGATTTCTTTCATTATGCCCAAAATGTTGTCTTTTTTACTTGGTACGAGAAAGATAAATTTTCTGCTGTTGATTGCTAGTTGAGTCGATATGGGTGTGAACTCGCTTGGGTGCGGAACCTCCGGCTACCTTTTAGCTATATTTAGATGTGCTATATATAGGACATTAATAAAGGCTTAGATGCAAACAATATTAACTACACATGGATGTCTTCAGTTCTAATAATTATTTCTTACTTTTTTATCCCTTTGTTGAATAGAAAGAACTTTTTTAATTTCGTAACTTTGTTTGACTGTGAAACCTCTCTTTCTATAAAGTCTCTTCCCTTGGTCAATTCCTCAGGCCCTCCAAAAAAGTGGTACCAGAGCTTGTTGGTTACCTCAAGTTGTGCAATGCCACTATTTTGGCTTGTTGTCTGGCAAAACATGTATCCAACCCTTACATGTATATTGATATGGTGATCTCTACACCACTAGTATACCAGCCTTGTGTTAGTATAATAATACTAAAGCAAGGGTGGTACATGACATAACTTCTCGTAAGTCGAGTTGACTACAACGTTAGAAGATTTTGCACACTTTGGGTGTATTGGAAAACCCTCAACACGGTGATGGTTAATCTGACGATACTGTATATCACTTGCTCCCCAAGATATCACTGGCATTATAACATAGCGCACACACTACTCCTATCCAATACCTATTGAGCCATCATGAGCGAAATCTCTATATACGCGCGACCATGCATATATAAGATGATGTGTGCAGTTTCAATTTAGCTGCAAACTTTCTGTTGAGTTTAGTGCAAGTTCCTTTTGTTTAAGTTTTGGCAAAGTGAAGATTATTTTGAACAATCCAAACTCTACTTTGAGCCTTTGACTTTTTGGCAAGCTTAGATGTTTACTTAAGGTTGCTCCCTAGAGTAGTTATGAACACCCTCCATATAAAGCGCGAGTTAGAAAAGGAAACTTAGTTAATTTCTCGTAAGGTTCTACTTCTAGATATTTACCAGTATGGGTACTGTTAAAACAAGGCTCACTTTTTGGTTGTCAATTTTTGGATTAAGGCTGTCACCATGGCAACATCTCATCTAATGACAGGCAGATATATTCCTCATTTTGGCCTAAACTCCTTAATATTTATACTTTTCTTCAGTGAAATTTTTTCATACCTTGCCACATCATGAAAATGATATTGCCTGACATTTTGAATTGGTAAAAAGTCAAAGTTGTTCAGACGGTTTTTCCAATATTCTGTAATTTGTCGTTCTTCTAAACATATTAGATTAGCTCAGACAGATGTTAACAAAAATGGGGTATTTTATAGGAAATGTATGTAGTTACAACTGAGTAAAATTTTAAAAAAATTCACTGAAGGGAATGCAAGAAAATTCACAGTCAATTGTGCTTTTTGTGCTCATGTTGACATCATAAAATATCCAAAAACACTGATGTTTTCCTTTGAGCACACGCAGATTACTTGGGCTTTTGTCCTATGTGCACATGTAATCATGAAACTATAGGGAGCCACCTTAAACCTGAGTATTTTGACTTTGTTTGTCTACATTTTCACTGAGTATTTTTGACTTTGTTTGCCTACATTTTTGTTATAATTAACATGAAGAAGCGAATTTTTCGTTGGCAATTTTAGAAACCAGGTTAAGTGTTTTGTTCAACCCTTGCTCAACTTATTGTGGCATGTTAGGATCCTAATGACCTTTGTTTTCATCCACCATGCATTGTGACAACTTTGTAGTCATTCACAAATAAAACATGTTTTAGCGCCCAAGTTGTTGTCAACATGTTATAAAACAATTGGTTCATGCTTTTGACAGGGCTTCTGGTGGGTCACAGAAAGAAAGTAAAATTTCAGGGGATTTTCGGGGACAAATTCATGGAAAAGACAGCCGATTTTGTGTGAATTTCCCAGGAATTTTGAGGCCAATTTCGCTGAAAAATGATTGGTTAAAACGGTCGATTTTGTGGGAGCTTTCTGGGTAGATTTTGCTGGTTTTGCGCATATTCGAGGAATGTTTTTAATGAAACTAGACACTCTTTGAGCATATACTCAGGCTTCGTACCGCAATATGAAATCGTACTTTCAAGTAAGCTTATTGAACACAATAAAAACAAATAAGAGAACCAGGATATTAAAAACACAAGAGTTATGCTTACACATTAACTATTCAAGTTGCTTTGTTGAATATCTTCTTTTGCATGTTGTTTGCCTCATCTTCAAAGTTCTATTACGTCGATTCTTGATTTTTTTCAACTTCTGAGGCAAACAGTAGAGGGACACCAAAAACCTACTGCACAAAGGAAATACAGTATGTTTGGTTATTGTTCTTCGTTTGGCCAAGAAATGGTTGATGAAAGTTGCAGTTTGCTCTATGTTTGACCACAAGGTTATTTTTAACAGAGAACATCACTTGCTCTTTTAACAACAATGCGCTCTAGAAATGCGCCAGTAACAAGGCTTTTTACATCGCGGCTGCTGCCCAGTTTTTCGCAACATTAATCAAAGAACGCCTGGTAGTTTTGGGATGTTGTTTACTCATTGCAGTGACTAAGTTTGCAGCCCCAATAGCCAAGATAACTTTCAAACATGTTGTGCTGGCAAGTATTTGGTAAAATTTCTAGTGAATTTTTTTGGGATTTTGCATGTTTTTGTGAATTTCGTGGGATTTCGTGTATTTACTTGAAATTTGCGGCTCTGCAACCGTGCGAAATAATAGAAGCCCTGTTTTAGCTCTGCGTATGTCAAGTTATGGATGCACTTGGGAAGTTTGGAAAGCACTCAAGAAGCTACAATGGGCGACAAAACTGTTAAGACACTTGGCAGTGAAATTCACTTTTTGAGCGTCTTGGACACATTTTCTCCCCTTCCCCCCCAATGTTGATTTTCCTATTTCTTAGACCGCTCAGACCACAGCACCTACACAACATTCAATTGGGGGGCTGGGGGTATCAGAGAATTGATGCTACATGCAAATAAAATAGAACAAGGGCTTAAATATCGAAAAGCCTGATTTTCTTAAAGTGTCTCAACTACTTTTGCCACCCATTTTTTGGAGTCTATTTATGTAAATTGTGGCAATTTCTGCTATATATCCAAGTTCTAGCAAGTTTATTTTTACAAAAGCGACTAAATGCATGGTTCAGAGTGATTTGTGACTAAAGAAAAGTGATAAGTGTTTTTTTAATAAAGTTGACAGTTACTTGTGATAATACATTGTTCGTGGCTAGTCTTACGCAGCTTGTTTCATCCCGGCCTAGGGACTCATCAGACACCTTTCTACTTGGCAAACTCGTTGAGCATCGCGCCCAAAGTCCCGTTCGCTAACAAAATGATGACAGCAATCTCGCCTTATATCGCATAAGGATTCCTGACCGCACAAATTCAGGAGTGAACATTGACAATAAAGTTGACAGTTACTTGTGATAATACACTGTTCGTGGCTAGTCTTACGCAGCTCATTTTGTCCCGGCCAAGGGACTCATCAGAGACCTTTCTGCTTGGCAAACTTGTTGGGCATCGCGCCCAAAGTCCCGTTAGCTAACAAAGTGATGACAGCAATCTCGTCTTATATGGCATAAGGATTCCCGACCGCACAAAGTGTTTTTTTCTCACCAAAATTCCGATTTAAAGACAAAACCTGGTTTCTCACACACTACTGCTAGCCATGTCAAGCTGACTGCTGCCGCCTGACCTTTATTGCAAAATCAAAGCTAATACAAGTAGCATTACCGTTAAGCCCGGAAATAACGAAAAAAGTTCTAGGCTAGTATATTATACTGGTATTGTATTAAAACTTAAAATTTTTGGGTGGGTGGGCAGGAAAGTCGGCAATGGCAGACGCAACAAAAACAACTGCCCGCCTGGTAGGTCACATGACCTATACCCAGGCCCCAACAGTGTGTGAGAAAAACATTTTTCACTTATTTCATTTCACTCAGCCAGTGAAAAATTACTCTTCTCACACACTGCTGGTAGCCATGTCAAGCTGACCACCACAACGTCACAAAGCATAGAGTAGCAAAAAACTCGAAAGCAAACAGAAGAAACAAATTTATACAGCACTTGTTGACCTATCACTACTGTCCAATATCACTTATAAGGAAGTCTGAACAAGATAGAGACAATACTCCACTGTCAAATGTGACCTTTCACGCGAAAACGTGCTATAACGACTTTCCGTTTTGAACGGAATTCCGTTTAGAAGCCGTTTGAAAGCCGTTTGAAAGAAATTTGCATTCGTTCGAACGACCTGGGTCATCCGTTCAAAAATATTTGCATCCGTTCGAACGGCTTGCTCACCCGTTTGGTAGAAACGTCCAGCCGTTCGAACGACTTGCTCACCCATTCGATAAAAACGTCCAGCTGTTCGAACGACTTGCCCACCCGTTTGTTAAAAACATCCAACCGTGCGAACAACTTGCTCACCCATTCGATAAAAAAGTCCAACCGTTCGAACGACTTGCTCACCCGTTCGATAAAAACGCTCAACCGTTCGAACGACTTGCTCACCCGTTTGTTAAAAACATCCAACCGTTCGAACGACTTGCTCACCTGTTCGCTGGAACATCCATCTGTTCAAACGACTTCAGTAAAACGTTGAACGGCTTTGATCATCCATTCAGGAATAAAAATATCTAGGCATACGAGCGGTTGTCTTAACCTGTTCGGGTACTCGCGTGTTCATGTCACCTAAGGAAAAAAGCCCTTCGATCACTTGAACAGTCTGCTAGCAGATTACGCGACAATCACAAAATATCTCCAAATAATGAAGCTCATGAAGAAACAGTCCACG